AATTCATCTGTCTGCAGCATTTAGCACTACCTATAAAGGAAGTTGCCTGAAATTAGTTTTACATAGTATCTTCTCCCACATAAAAACCTCTAGCTGTAATAATACTAGGTTAGCCACTCCATCTATTTATTTTACAACTACTTAAGAGCACAACATAAGCCCTATATATAGACTGCATTGCCAAAAAAACAAGCTAAAACAAAGGCACACATGCACACAGAGCAGTTTCAACATCTAAGTTAGTTATTTCAGTAAGACTGCCTACACTGACCCAATTGTGTTTCAGCTGTACTGGGAACTTGCTTAAACACACTTTGCTAATGGTGTTCCACTTTATTCCTCTGGGTCATGAAAGTTATTTTGAAGCAAAAGAACAAGGGGATTTCAAAGTACACCATCACTCTCACTCTGCTGTTTACAAAGGAGTGAATACCACCCAGGAGCAGTTGCACAGTGAGTTGGGAGGACGGTTCCAGATCCGCAAAGCCACTCAGGCAGCCTCACGCTTGGGCTGTTGATGCTCTTCAGCCAGAGCAGCCCCAGAAACGTGAGGGCTCTGCCAGGCTCCAAAGGAGTTCAACACCCAAAAAGAAACCCCAGCTGAGAAATACACCTTGAGAAGCTGTAGTTTTCAAGCAGTGAACACCAACCATTTCACCAAAGTTAATAATGCTAACACTTTAAAGCCCTGTGACTACCAGTTACCACTCAAACTCCATTTGTAAATCATTTCCCTAAAAGCCAAAACAGAACTAGAAGACGATACACGAACTGAGATGCAACAGGGTTTTTTCGCTTCCTAGCATGATCAAATAGCACTTGGAAAACCATTCTTTTGTTTCGTTGGCACCCAAGTCTCGCAACATAAAATCAGGTAAGTAAGAAGCACCTGAGAACTTAGTCATGCTGCCACGTTTCCACTCCTAATTACCCGCAGGGTTATGCACTTTTCTACCCAACCTTTTAAACTTTAAAACGAATTTTTTAGCCCTAACTCACAATTCTCTCCAGATCGAGCCAGCCAGCAGAGGGGACCGACGCTTCACCCCACGACTCCGGCAGGTCCCACGTCTTTTCAGAAGTAAAAAGGAGATGCAGAGACGCCACCGGCTGAGCCCGAACCAGCCCCCGAGCCCGGTTCCGGCCCTGGGCCACGGCGAGCCCAAAGCCGGACCCCTCCCGGCGGTACGGGAGGCACCGGCA